GATCCATTGCCGGACACGGAAAAAGACAAAAAGACAAAAAAAAAAAAAAACAAAAAAACTGTCTTTTATCTAGAGTGTTTATTTGGCTTACATTGATTTTGATTACTGATAAATTTGGATTCCTTCCTAACATTTTATTTTGAACTCCCTATTTGTCCCCAATTTTTTATGCTTTTTCTTTTACTTTCCCTCCCCACTTCTTTCTGTTAAATTAATTGGCTTTTTCTCCTTTTCATCATTCAATTTTGTTCCCTTTTAGTTTGGAAGCTTTAATCTACTTTTTATTCTTTTAGTGGCTGTCTTAGAAATTTTATGAGGCATATTTTAACAAAATCTAAAGTCAAATAATATCCTTAATCTCCTCCCAAACAATACAAGAATCTTCAAATGGCCATTTCCTACTTAAATATCAGTATTTTAATGTTTTATTGACAACCTTTAAAGAAACATTATTGTTATTATTTATGTAGCCAATGTTCTCTTAGATTTAACATGTTTACCACTTTCTTTGATGTTCATTTTTTTCCTACTTCTCAGTCTTTTCGTTGGGGTAACATTTTCCTCTTTGAAGTATATCTTTTTGAAATTTTCTGAGTGTGGGTCTTTCTTAATTGCACTTTAGATGCAGGTTTTGTCTGCAAAATATATTCTGGAAAGATAGTTTTGCATTTGTTTAATTTACAATTCAGGTCATGTCACTTTTCTTTCAGCACGTTAAAGATATAATTCTATTGTTATTTAGCTTCTATTGTAATTTGTAAGAGACAGCTGTCAGCAGAATACTTATTCCTTTGTAGGGAATCTGTTTTTCGGCTTGATTTATTGTTTTCTTTTGACTATGAAATTCTGCAGTTTCACTAAGGTGTATCTAAATATATATTTCTGAATTTCAGGAATGGTGTCTTTAGTTAATTCTGGAAAATTCTCAGCCAATATCTTTTTGAATATTCTCTCTCTCCCATTCTCTCTTCGTGACCTTCTAAAATATCAGTTGGATGCAGGTTGATGTCTCTTTTACTCTGACAAACTACACT